ATGTGTGTGTGTGTGTGTGTGTGTGTGTGTGTGTGTCCGAAAGGAAAATCATAACTCCTGTCCCCGTTCACCTAGGGTGTGGTAGGAGTACAGGGGGCAGGACGTGAACACTTATGACGGATGACTGGATCGGAATCCGCCCACGGGGGCGGGGTTTGCGCGAAAAAACAGGTTTAAGCGGAAATTTATAAGTCCTGCACCGTGGACGTGAAGAGTTCAAAACTGGTAGGAGTAGAGGAGGTAGGATGAGAACACTGACGATTGAAGAGGCCTCAGAGAGCAAGATCCGCACGCCAATTGAATTTCAACGCTTTTGTCATTTACGATCTAGCTTTGATGTGTTTCGTTTGACAAGAATGGTTAGTGCAGTGACAGGGACCGATTGAGGGTAGTAAATTATAAGAGGTAAGAATTAGTTGATTTTTTGCTATCAGATAATGTCCTCTACCCAGCAAAGTTTGCAATTCAGTGAAGGATCGTCAATTCATCCGCAGAAAAGGAAGCTTCATTGTTAAATATATTCGATAATGGTGTTGTTATGACTCCACAACATTTGTGAGTATCTTCCAAAGCATTGACTTCCCACCATTTTGAAGTTTCAATAGGTTTTATCATTTTTGAGATGAAATGCAACAGATCGAGACTTCTGATCATTGGCATAAGCATCGGCGCATTTTGAATGCCATTTGCATGCCTTACTAACCCTCCGTCGAATTATTCCAATTATTTAGTCCAAATGAGTAGGGGCCGATTTGCCGATTATAACAGCTCTGCCGTAATAAGGAAGGAAGCTCAGCATTAGCCGGGCGATCCGACTGGTATATGATAAACTGAAAAGTGAATAATTCGAGAAGAAAAAGCGAAAACGACGCGAATTCGCGTTTTGGGATTTTTTGAATAATTAGGGCGGATATTATATGTATAATCCCCACCAAAGAAACGGGATTTACTGGGAAGTTACCAACTCGGACCGTTCTCCACGTTTTGTGTCTACAAGCTGTCGAACGCTTTTTTCCAGGGTGTGAAGCTCAGAAGTAGGGCGGAGGCGGTGAAGTGGCAAGTGGGGCCCGTGTCACACGCACGGTCAGAGGTTCGAATCCCGGATCGATGCCCGCCTAGGCCTACCAAGCCTTCCATCCTTGCGGGGTCGCTTAATTGGTACCAGGCTCGTCTGGGAGGATAAAAACAATGACCTGTACATCGGCTGGCCACCGCAAGTCATTGTATAGGCCACATACGCACGCATCACGCCACTACGATTCTGAATGGAAGTCGAGGGCGGGGGCGCATTCCTCAGACAGGGTTGATTGAAAGAAACGAGCGAGCACCTCCACAAGTAATAAACAGTTAACGCTAGGGGGACTGGGCAGTGAACCGAGGGAAAGAGCTGTTGATTTTCCTCTTCCCGCTGTGGACTGCTGACTGTCTCACTACAATTAATTCTTGATTATGCAGTAATACATGAGAATTCAGGGATCAAGAAATTCAATAGTGACCAAACAAACCAAAGTTGCCAAACCATGCCATGCATTGCCCTCCCGTTCGATGAGCTTCACAGTTTTTTGTGAACATACCTATTCAGCGGCCAAGTGCCTCTCGAGTTTATTTAGGGAAGTTCCACTATGAGCTCAATCAGTAGTTTCGAAATCGAAATTCGCCCTTTTTTCAGGAAAAGCTCTCAGTCATAATTTTATTTTATGAGTGACCGAATGCCACTGCGCTACGCTCAAATTCAGCAATATTTTCAAAGGTCTAAATCTCACTAGCTTCCATTTGTACGGTATTACTCTAACCACTCCCCAGCTGAGCGAAGGCGAAGGCGATCAAGAACTTCTAGAAAGTACACTTCAGCTGCCATGAATTGACTGAAATTTTCAGTGATCAGGAATTGCATGCACAAATATTCCCGTTAAAAGGACGCTGCTAGCTGGCTGCGATGGCTGTACTCGAGCGGCCTCGAGATTTTTTTTGTGTAAATGTGGAGTTTTCTTTGTGCGCAGCATGACGCAAGGTCATCGTTCTCCTGCCACGGATTATTTGCAAAAACAGTAAGGAAAAACTCGCTCCCCGAACAGACACAAACGATACAAGACGAACACACTTCAAATCCTCCATGATTGATTTCTGAGCAACAGTAGAGATCACACGACTGTGATAAGAAATCTTTCATAGTACGAACCAAACGACGTAATAAAGCTGATTGTTCTTGGAGAAGCACATAAACGATTGCACATATACATTAGTGGGTGGCAGTGACAATGGTGACGACAATGGTGGGACCATGATAATCGAATAGATCAACGTCCTACCTGGATGAGTTTGTAAGTAAGCTACACACGGCTCTGGATGAGGTATTAGAACCGCGTTTTATATTGCATCATCGGCGTGATTTACTAGTGGATGAGTGATCAATGGGCGATGAGGCAAGGAGGTTAGGTAAAGGCTAGCTGCTGGTGATGGACGACGAAGTCTCACTCAACTTTCTAGCGGACTACTGAATGAAAACAATTGGCAATTGACCAAAGCCTACTATATTCGTCGGAAGAAATTCAGAAATTACAGAACATGTTGTGAACCACAGGAATTCAACTGTAGCTGGAGTATCGGGTACGGTTATTGTGTGTCCATAATGTTCTGAGCGGTGAGCATCGATTTGAACTGGTCGACTTCTCTTTTCAATTTGGCGATCTCCTCTTTCAGCTGGTCGTTTTCGCTTTCAAGTAACTGGAATTGAGGTTTAATAGAACGAGATGAAGAGTTAAGCACCTTGAAGACGAAATTCGGTATCTATGAATGCAGAGAATACAACATACTTGTACACGACGACTTCTATACTCGAATACTGCTCGTCGATTTGCTCGGCAGCGCTTGGCAGCCTCGTTGTTCCGCCGACGCCGGTCCATGTACTGCTCCTAAGTCAGGCAAGTAATAATGATGACTGACCATAAAGAGACCCCAAGAATTATGAGAACCTTTTTGTCATCTGAACTGTTGCCGTCAAGAGCTCGCCTGATCGCTGATGACTCAGGATGGTCCTCGCTTGACTGTGAAGGTGAGAGAGATGCTGACGACGAAATCGACTCACAGTCGGACTTCGACGGAGAAAGCTGAAAGATAGAAATGGATGACAGGGGGAATGAGAAAAAGATCTCTAAGGTGACTACGCAATGACCCTAGAAAATGTTTCAGAACGAGATAGGAAACTGTGGGCCCTCATTTCAGAGTGCGGTCGTGGTCATGTTTTATGTACTTGGAATTAGGAAAGTGGGGATACTACACGTAATGGGTACTCAGTTAAGAGAGACGAAAGTGAAAATGAAGGAAAGCGGAAGTCTGCAAAATAAAGGGGAGCATCCTCCTCTCCCATGCCCTCGATTTTGCCCTGCTAAAATCAGGAAGTTTTCGCGACTGTCATAACATGCTATGAAAGGCGAGTCGAAAATCAAAATGCATTAAATTGTTTATGAAGTTTGAACGGACCAGATGGCATCCCCCCGATTTCTGTTCTGTTCATATAACAACCCTAAGACTTGTGGGCCGAATTATAGGTACATTCTCTGGAGGCCCTACGACGCACAACTATGACAGTCTTTTACACAGCCCCGAACACGGTTCTGCAAGTAACCTATCACATACCCTAGGAGGGCTTCCGAGGCGACTGTGATGTTCTGTTCTGCTTTGTGGAACGGCTGGTGACGTTCGCCGAGTGGCAAGAAGAGCGCCTAGCAATGATTGGGAAGGTGCACGTTCCTGATGGAGTTGTTGAGGCGATGGAACTGCTTGGGTAAAACTATTAACTTCTTGATTAAATGTTTTTATGGTAGCAGATAAAATCACCTCTCTGAATGACACGTTCTATACGATCGCTGCTTGAGTCCGGGCTTATCCTTTCCGCTTTCATGATTACGGATTCCTTGTGAGCATGAAAAGGCTGGAAGGCAGAACCGACGGAAAACACTGACGACGAGGGCGTGGAGCGGTACTGAATGGGATTCCGATTAACAGCATAACGTTCAGCTGATTTTGATCTAGAAGAATTAGCAATTCAAGAAATGCCATGAATAATTGCAGCATGAAATGCGTAGAATGGTGAGCATGAGGCCATGGTTTGTGCTCAATTTATACAAATGACCTCGATTTGCGCCATCCGTGGACAATTTCAAACAGCTGCACAACCGGCTTCTCATCTGCACTGCAAATTTCAGTGGGAGTGAAGGAGTAGTAACGGACTGACCTGCTGATGAATGGCAGCCTGCAGTTGACAGAGTTGCACGATTGGCAACTGAGAAGTGGAGGGAAGCAGTGGTACGTGTGACAGTGGAATATTGGAGACGGTTGTCGTATGCAGATTAGGCAGTGGAGGAACCGTCAACGACGGCAAACCGACAGACGACGTTTGCAGTTGATGAGTGAACAGAGGCTGCAATAGAATGCCTCATCACCATGAAAATAATTGGTATTCGGGACGGTGCTCTATGAGGGACAGCAGACTTGAAAGAGCGAACAGTAAGTAAAAATTGATTCAACTTAAAAGGTAGCAATTTTGAGAAATTCAGGGGTCTGCTTTGAGTTCTCCCAGGAAAAATGGAACATCAGGTGTAATTCCCATTACAATCAACATAACCCGCTGCAATTTCTGAGTTGGAGTACCGATGGAAAAGGGGTTATCATGAATATTCAGAATACATACAAGTGTACTCGGTTCCGCTTACCGTGCTGCTTTGTGGAGGGAAAGCGGGAAAGTCGGGCCGAGCAGTCTGAAGTAGGCTTTCTGCCGCTGTTCGAGATTCCAAGCGAGACTTCAGCAAATGATTCTCCTGTGAAAGGGCTAGTATGCGCTGCTCCATCGCCTTCAAACAGATTTTTTGTTCGTATAAATTTGAAGTCAGTGGCATATTTGAAATTCTTCCCCCAATTGATTTTTGATGAATGAGGGGAAAAGATGAGGCTATACCCTAAGAAACGAAGCTGGTTCTATTATTCTATTCACCCCTAAAACAATTCCAAGTAAAGTAAAGAACTAGTAAACAAATGAATCATAATCGGATTCTTTCACTGAGTGAAGCATCGAATATTCACCCGAGCTGCCACGGCCTAATCATATCACACTGGGGCTACATAAAGGCAACACTAATGAACAGGTAAATAGTAGAATGAAGCAGAGCTTAAAAAAAAAGAAAAAGCACCATGTCTCCTATTCTCCTTTTTTCCCGGGAACGTTTCGATGCGTCGTTGTTTTTCCGTCGTCGTTCCCAGTACTGTTCGTCCTTGACGACACTTTCATTCACAGAACTTCTGAAAAACTCATAAACAATTTTTTCACTCATAAGAAAGCTCGATTACCTCCTGGAATGTGGTGAGTGTTCGGAGGAATTGGAGCTGTACTCGGCAGAAGCAGAACACACAACCGACAGCCGCTCCGATGGTGAAGATGACGAAGAATCGACATCCATCTGAAGAAAATTTCTACATCAGTTCCGGATCAAAACTTGAATCACGAGAAAATGGACGCAATGGAAGTGAAAAGAAAATGAGAGGGAAGGGATGGCTGGCTGGACCACTATTTTCGTGCAGTACCCTTTGACGAAATCGCCCATAACCGCATCGAATTCTGAGAAAAAAAGGACTTCACTCGGAAACAAGCTCAGCGACGATAAACTGTTATATGATTATGATACGATGATACTGAAGCTGAGCAGAAGGCACAGAACAGTTACACAGATGCCCGGGCAATTACCGTCACCCGGATGCACTGGCGCGCTCTCCCCTAGGGGTCGACCTACATGCCCGAAACCGGCCCTCGTCCAGAAGTGACCGCGGCCGCAGCCGATTTCCATTTCGATTAGAAAACCTGTTGGAAGGCGAGCCTCGAAGCCGGATCGGAGATCGTCACCGCGAGAGAGAGTGCGATTCGGGGAGGATGCTTCCCGTACGCGGGCGACCGACGACAACGTTCAACGGCGAACTGAGGGCGACGAATGGGTCGTCTCCCCACTCTCGTTTTCACACGATCCATGTCCTTGCCCCCACGTCCTTGTCCATCGAAAAGTCAACGAGTCAAAGTGAAATAGATTCGTCCCATTTTGAGGGCTCGCAGAGAGAAGGCATTATTCAGGAAGAAAACATGGGTAATTCAATGTACTGTACTTTGTATTACACAAAAGCTTACATGCGGCTGCAACACGGCGAACTGCGAAAAGCGCATTACAACGTTGGCTTGACCTACTTTCGAGACCCGAATAGGCAGTGGAACCGGGTATGTTAACGGCAGGCAGCCAGTCGCGAACGAAATTAGCTGAATACGGCTTGCTACTGCCGTTTGGCCATTGAAGAACACAACCCAAAAAAGTGTAAGCCCACATCAGCATAAGGAGAGGGTAGAGAAATTGAGAGGGAGATTGCAATTGTCCTGGGAAGGTGTCCAGTCAGATGATCGAAAGTGAATCAGAACATTCTATAGCACATAATATACACATGTAAATACAAGCAGATGTATAGCATAAAATACAAGCAGCTTAAAGTTAATAAACTGTGGCGAACACAGGCAAGGTGTCATACAGTCATACCGTGCAGAACGCAGAAGAAAACATGGAGAGAGGTTGTGTAAGAGTAGTGCTTCCGGGAGTCCTAAGGGAGGTGGGAGGACAGCACATCTAGAGGCAAGCGATTTGTGGTTCTATGTTCTTTGATATTGGTTGTTGTGTTGACCCATGGGACAAATGAAAAGCTTGAGCTCTTTTTTTACTATTTTATGACATTTATCTCGGCTCAAAAAGTAGAGGCCTCCTATAAGCCTGTAGCTAAACTTTTCTGAACTTAATCTGATGCCAAAAAAGATCAGCTGGAAATTTCAAAAAGATGACTCTTCACCCAAATGATCTCAAATGTCCTAATTGCATCAAAATCAAGACACCGAGGAGGATTCAGAATGAGTGACGTTATTTATGACGAACATCATGGTTGTACTGATTGATTTGTAGGAGTAATGACTGGGAAAAACTTTCGACTCTTTCTCCAAAAATGATTCCCTAGACCAAGAATACTGTTGAAAAACTCAAAAAAGTTGGTACCGGCCATGAAAAGCTCCTTCCCGATAGCTACAAGACAGATCCTCCTGTTCGTTTTAAAATTTAACATTTGGCATATGATAAGTTTGTCGGAAAAATACAGGGCAACGGAACCGTAGGTGCTTGACGTCACGTGAAATGGCGATAATGACAGAAGATGAATACAATCTGCTTGACAAGTACCGTACGGCTGAATAGCCTACTCCCTAAATTTCAAAAGAAGATGAAAGTGAAGAGACAGTGGTCGTCGAAATGGAGAGCTGAACTGACCGTGCTGTATTGTTCGCCGTGGTTGAAGAGAGAGGTCTAGTCCATGCAGAAAGGAGGCCTGTGTGGCTATTTTCGTTGCGCTCTACAAACAATCAACGTTTACAGAGGCGGATCGTAGCACAAATCTGCACTGTGCCTCTGGGCTTTCGAAACAAAAATAGACATCGGCGACGAAGAATGGAGTGGTGGCCGGCGAGAGAAAGAATGGGGAGGCAAATAGTCTCGGGCACACATCGACACGTTTGCCTGTGCTCTAGAAGTAACTGAGTCATCTTGACTCCTAAACGTCAAGGTTTCACAACCAGCCAAATGAAAAACAACCAAACATCTCCCCTCCTTAGAAGGGCGGAGATGGTCACTATGTGGCAGCGCTTCATTTCCACCAGTGGTGCCGAGTGTCATATTCGCATGGTCGCGGATAGCAAGTGAAGGGGCTGGGAAAAAAGGAACGTGTCCAGGAGCGGCTGAAAATTAGCGAATAGTCGAAAGAGTTAATGGAACGCATAGGCCCCGACACGGAGCGAATGGACGGGGGTGAGAGCCTTGGAGGGAGTGCGCAGCGCGATAAGACCCAGAACGCGGCTATCGAGTTCACGACCGAGTGACCCGAGTTGCATCCTCTTCATGCCGAATCCGGGACGACGACCAACGCGGCCAAACCGGACATGGCAGTGGCTAGCGAAGAGATTCTCGATCCAACAACGGGAAGCGGGGGAATACCCTGTAAACGGCACTACGTGCTATAACATACTTTCTCTCATCTCAGATTTTTTATAATCCAGCGAATAAATGAGTGTTTGAAGGTTGGAAACAACGTGATCGCTGAATGACAGACGAGGCGGGTGTAACGACGAAGCGTCAGTGCCAAACGGCTAGTATGAACAGTGTGACCTGTCCTTGAACTGTATCCCAGTCAAGGAAGAGCGCAGATGTGATGATTATGACGAGAATGACAAAGAAGCATCCGACACTTCAGTCTACAACACGATGACACAGTCACAAGCGTCAAGTGAACACAATTAGCTCCCCGCGCAGAGAAGCGTCGGCGATGACGGCCGCCGGGTGCGACTGGTCTCGCTTGTGTAGTCGCTTTTGTTGTTGAGTCGACAGCAACATCCTGGAACCAACCCTTATCGCGGCTGAAGGAAAAGTCTTCCTTGATTCCGTAAATAGAGTAAATAGAGTATGAGGAGCAGGAAAGGAACCTATATTAGAAACGCGGAGTGACCTGAGTAGCCGTAAACATCGTAAGCAAACATAGCCGCAGTGACAGACGGCAGCACACCTGCCACCCGCTCCAAAACAATGCACGCGAGCATGAGCTGATTGCACGCGTATAGAAGGAGTAACTCAAGAGGAGGCACTCAGTCCACAAAAATTCAATCTGGACTGTCTTATCAAGTCGTTTTAGATTGAAATCATATGGTCACAGCACGATTTAATATTCAGAACAAGACCCTATAGTAAAGAAGGAACGGCATGCGCACTCGCAACAGCGCAGCCCATACGGATGCGCCCTGACCCTCAAACCTGGATTGATCCGCTCGATGAAGAGAGAAAATCCTCAAAAAATTCAGCGAACTTCCCGAAATGCAACAAAATTCCAAAGTTGTGTTTTGGGGATTTATGAGTGAAGCCAACGAAGAGGAAAGTAGAACGAATAACTTTGTATGCAGACACAGCAGCAGCAGGGACAAAGGTACGGGAAGGGACTAAGTGACGATTGACAGCCTCCACTCTTGTGAAACAGGTAGTGAATGAAGTTTGGCTAGCCATGGGCACTAACTGAAGCACCTAGGGTAAGAGTGGTCGAGATTATTTCATCGAAAGTCGAGAGTGAGAGGGCGACGATCGAAGGTGAAAACTGAATCGAACCCAGAACGACGACGTCTACGCAATCACACATTCCTGACCACACGGAACACATCCACAAAAGGATTTCGTAACAAAAACAAAGAAATGAAAAGCCGAGCTTAGTAATCAGGCAGATGAGGAGTGCTATGGAATGATGGAAGTGGTAGGTTAGAGCAACACCACCTGCCAGCCCTCGCTGCAGGCGCATCTCCTTTCCAGATTGGACGAGTTTTGATTACCAGTAAAGGCTGCAGCAGTAAAACGTAGAATGAATTACATTTGGACGAGCCTTCTCCACTCTATGATTTGGAAGGCGAAAAAGAAATTACAACTAAAAAGTTGAAAATTTTCGAGGAGAGGTTGATGCCTTTCAAGGAAATAGTGAAATTTGTTAAAACACCCAAAAAAGTGCTAAAACTCGTTAAAATGAAACCTCCACAGCACTTTTCCGACATTTTCAAATTTCATTAACAGACTCTTGCAGTGGTCTACAGAGAAACCTTTAGATCTACTCCAGCACTATGAATGCGTGGGAGTGGAAGCTGAAAGGTCTAAATGCCGCACGAATCACTTACTAGCTATAGTGTTGGCCTGGAGACAGTAACCGTTTGATATCATTGAGATAACAGGATTGGGAACATTCAGATCAGCACTTGCAAGTACGTAATCACCCCCGACTTATCATATAAATAGATTGTTTTTTTTTCTGACTGGCTGAGGTATAGGCCGCTAGTAGCGCATGAAACTCCTGGTCAACAAAGTTTCTGAACCATTGGGTAGTTGGGAAGATCAAATATTCTCAAATTGACTCGTTGATTTGGCGATTAGAATGCTCGAGGCCATCCGCAGAAATGCTATCATAAACATTTGATAGGTACGTGGCCTAATATCAAAGTCTGTTTGTTCAGGACAAGGGAAGACATGAGTCTGACGACAAATCCTGGCCAAATCATTTCATCTACTCCGCTCTCACCGACCTTCTCCGAACTTGTCGACAATTCACTTCCGTATACTGACTAGTCAAAAGAATTTTGCTTGAATATTGATTCAGTCAGCTTTTCATTCGCCACCTCAACTATTCGGTGATGATCTCAGAATTGCTTTCCGAGTTGAGCGAAATATCTCGATCTCAGAAGTGATTAAGTGATTCATAAGGAGGTCCAAGAAGATTGCCCCATCCTTTACATAATCTGTTTCGGACAACTTTTTGCTTTTATCTTGTGTAGCGTGAGCTACCGAGAAGCGGCTTTGAAATGTCCTCATGATTGAATGCCGGAAACGGTTTTGGATACGATTCACGGGCACAAAATGCGAATATCTCGTAAGCTGTTTAGGAACAAAAATGACGGCAATTCACCAATAATGAGCTTACCCTGCCTTTCACTTCAAAGGTTCGTTCTAGAAAGAACAGCAAAGGAAATTTCATCAAAAGCACCTAACTGCGTAACGTCGTCAACCTTGTAGACCTACCAAGAGAACTGGAAGACACCCGTCTACGCTTCATTCGCACGACCACGGAGAAAAACACTTCCCAGAACCCAGAACCGTTTACAAATTAAAGGAGCCACGCCCAATCTCTTTCCAAGATCACATCTACGGTATAATACTATACATATATAATACTATACTATACACGACGATTTCAAGTTTAAGAATAGGATTTAAAAAATTCTGCAAGCGCAAAAACGCTTTGAAAATCCTGGCGCTCGAAGGGGACTGACCTATTATCTGTGATTATCAAGGAAGGGAACGAACAACGTAGTGGCGTAACAGCTTCATCTCGCTCAACATGATTGAAAACTCGCTTCCGACATGGACGTTGGCTTGAAAAAATTTGCGCAATCGCGCTTTGTGAAGAGATGTTCCTAGAGAGTGTTCCTCAGCAAGCAATTAACAAAGGCTTTTGTGAATAGATTAGATTCGTTAAGCCAGTTACGGTCAGGTCTATGGAAAGGGCCAAAATGAATGAGGCTGTAGGAGGATGATAGGAGCTGAGGCAATGTGAGAGATTAGATAGAGCCAGCTGCTCCTAGAATGATATCCTGAGGGTGACCGCAGCACGGTGGCGGTGCCAGTCGTCAACAGCGTGACCTTGTAAACAGCGAGCCAAACCGCGTAAACAATTCCGAGCTTCATTTGCATAGGGCAAAAGCCGCGCCACGCCCCTCTTC